CGCCGGCCTGGGCGCCCAGCGCCGACGGCTCCATCTGGAGCCTGGAGCTGCAGGGCGGCCTCTTCGTGGTCGGGCGGAGCAGCGGCCGGCTGGAGGTGCGGCTCCCCGCAGCCGGTGCCCCCGGTCTGACTCTGCGGGCGCCCGCCGCGCTCACGGCCTCTGCGCTCGCTGCAGGTGTGGGACGCCATCGAGGGCGAGCTGTGCTGCAGCAGCGAGGTGTCATCCTCGGGCATCACGGCCCTGGTCTTCCTGGACAAGAGGTGAGCGGGGCAGCCTTGCTTGGGCCGCAGGTGCCGCTTTCCTTCCTCACCTCCCGAGGCCGGGTTTCCCTAACGGGGCGGTTTCCAGCCTCAGGGCGGCCGTGGGGCACCTGCAGCTTCCCGTGCAATCCTCCCCGGGACCCCGGGCGCTCCTGCCTGCCTGCTCGCCTTGGCTGTGGGGGTTCCCACCGGGTGCACCCGCATTCTCCACTGGGCTCCGCTCTGGCTTTGACACCTACCGAGTTGCTGGCCCTGCTGCTGGCTGTTGGTGGCATCACCTGTCACGGCCAGAGCTAGAGATGGAAGGAGCCTTTGCTGGGGAAGAGGATCGTCACCCTGAGCACTGCCCCTTGGTGGCCACTTTGTTCTGTCATCCCTGGGACTCCGGCCCAGGCCTCGGCCCGCCCTGCCTCCGGCCTGCTAAGCTCTGTGGCCCCTCCGTGCCGGGTGGAACTGCCCTTGGTGGCCCATGTGCCTTAGCAGTGTTCCCTCTGGCTGGAGGTGCCCGGGTGCTGGCCTCTCCTGCCCCTGCACCATGGTTCCCCAGGTCTTCCCATTCTGTAGCATAGGTGGACATGCATGCTGGCTTTGGGGCGACGGCTCTTGGCCTGTGGCTAGGAATTCATGGCTGTAAACAACACCCTTATTTCTTTGTGGAGAAGGGAAACGGAGCGGGGTACTGTTCCACGGACACAGCAGCCCTGCAGCTCTGCAGTGCAGCCCACCTCAGGCCGTTTGTCTTCCTCAGGCATGACCCCACTTCTGTTAGATCAGGCCACACAGGGGACCCTCGGCTTAGTTGCTTTTTGTGCTTCAATGTACATACACAGAGCCAGACGTGGTGCATGCCCGTAATCCTAGCACTTGGGAGGCTGAGGCAGGAGGATCGTTGTTTGAGGCCAGTCTGGGGTACAAAGTGAGTTCAAGTTGAGCTGCATAGTGAGACCCTGTCTCAAAAAGACCAAAAAAAAAGTACCTACACATAGGACTCGTGTGACTCCGGCAGCCACCCTGTGAGGTGGGCAGTTACCTCCTTTTCACAGATGAAGACCCTGAGGTGAAGCACGGTTAATAGAGGTGCAGTTGAGCCCTGTTACCAGTGCCCTGTGCTTCTCGCCTTGGCTGTAGCCCCCTCCTGAGGTGGTCGGCCCTTTGCTCTTGTCCCCACATCTTACTGAGTAGAGCCACCCGCACCCCTCCTCCAGGGTCGTGGCTGCTCGGCTCAATGGTTCCCTGGATTTCTTCTCTCTTGAGACTCAAGCGCTCTTCAGCCCACTGCAGTTCCGAGGTGAGCGGCTTGGGTTGGGGTGGCAGGCAGTGCCCGCCCAGTGCTTTTCACAGGCTCCCTTATTTGGCCCATTGTCCTCAGGGACCCCAGGGCGGGGCAGCTCTCCCTCCTCTCTGCAGAGTGGCAGCGACACAGTGGCCTGCCGCCTGACCCATACTGTGCCCTGCGCACACCAGAAACCCATCACAGCCCTGAAGGCTGCTGCTGGGCGCCTGGTGACCGGGAGCCAGGACCACACCCTGAGGGTGAGTACCTCGTCGGGCCTCGAGAGGCTGGAGGGCAGTTCCCCTGGGCGCCTCTATCTCCAGAAAGCCCAGAGCCGCCCATCCCACCCCAGGTGTTCCGTCTGGAGGACTCGTGCTGCCTCTTCACGCTGCAGGGCCACTCAGGGGCCATCACAAGTGTCTATGTTGACCAGGTGAGGAGCCAGGGCCGGCAGCAGGGAGGGCAAACCGACCAGTGATTCCTGGGAGCTGGCCCCAAGGGCTTTCTGAGAAGCAGGGTAACCCAGTCTCCCTGGGCCTTTTCCCTCAGACCATGGTGCTGGCCAGCGGAGGACAGGATGGGGCCATCTGCCTGTGGGACATGCTGACAGGCAGCCGGGTCAGCCATATGTTTGCTCACCGTGGGGATGTAACGTCCCTCACCTGCACCGCCTCCTGTGTCATCAGCAGTGGCCTGGATGACCTCATCAGCATCTGGGACCGAAGCACGGGCATCAAACTCTACTCCATTCAGCAGGTGGGCAGGCGGGGTGGGTGCGGGGCCTGGGACCAGGACTCCAGACCCTAGACCCTGAGCATCCGGCCTTGCTTTCCAGGACCTGGGTTGTGGTGCAAGCTTGGGTGTCATCTCTGACAACCTGCTGGTGACCGGTGGCCAGGGCTGCGTCTCTTTTTGGGACCTGAACTACGGGGACCTGCTGCAGACTGTGTATCTAGGGAAGAACAGTGAGGCCCAGCCGGCCCGCCAGATCCTGGTACTGGACAACGCAGCCATTGTGTGCAACTTCGGCAGCGAGCTCAGCCTAGTTTATGTGCCCTCCGTGCTGGAGAAGCTGGACTGAGGGCAGGCGGCACCGCACGCTGGACCCAGGACAATGAGGGTGGGCGTAGAGCAGCTCCTGGCAGCTGCCTCTGAGTTGTCCTGCTCCTGGACTGTGGTATTAAACTTTTTAAGAAACACGTGCTTAAGGCTAGAGATGCTTATGTCATTCCCTGCTCAAGAAAGGGTGACGGGTGTCAGGTGTGGAAGTGTGACCACCTGTCTTCAGTTGGTGCTGTGCTCCTGGGCTGAGGAAGCAGTGGTGGGCAGACACTGGCCACAGAATAGGTTGGTTTATTTCAATAGCAAAGAGCTGAAAAACACCAGGTCCCACTGAGGAGCAAAGCCTGGGCCGAGGCCACTGTGCTTGGCCAGCCTGGGCCAGGTGAGGCTGAGGCACAGGATAATGTAGTGTTGAGAACCAGCACAGGCGGCTCAGGTCTTGTTGAGGGTCCAGAGCGGATCCAGCAGACTGAGGGGATCATCGGGGGCCCGGGCAGAGCGCAGGCCCTGCCCATTGTGTGCCTGCAAGAAGCTCTGCTTGCTCATGCGCTGCTTTCCGCGCAGGGAGCTGTCCAGGGAGAAGGCCTCGGGGGTCAGGGAAGCCAGCAGCTCCAGGGAGGAGGACGGGGGCCCCACACTGGGGGCTTCAGGCACCGGTTGCTGCTCCTCCGGTTGAGGGGCCTCGGGCAGGGGTGAGGAGAGGGGTGGTGGGGAAGATGGGGCAGGTACAGGCTCGGGGAGGCTCGCAGGCACCAGGCCCAGGGTCTCTGCGGGGCCTGACTGCATGGTGGCCGGGGAATCCATGCCTGCAGCAGGCCGGATGCTAAGCTTCGCGATGGTGGCTTGGATGGAGCTGATGGGCACGTCCCCACCAAGGACCAGGTCCTGGGAGTCCTGAGGCGGCTGGTTCTGAGGAGACAGAGGAGGTGAGGCCAGGAAGAGTGAGGCTACAGCCCACCCAGCCCAGGGAAGCTCCCTCACCTTCTGGCTGGTGCTGGTACCGGCCAGGGACTTGCAGGGTGGGGGCACGCCGTGGCGCTGCAGGACCTGCTCCACGTGCCGCACCGCCGCCTCGTAGCAGAACCTGAGGTGCAACTGCAAGGAGCGAGGGCCTGGTCAGTGGGGCGGGGCTGCGGAGCCACGGCCCAGGCCCAGCTCCACCCCACTGCCTGCTGCTCTCACTTTCTCCTGCAGCATGTGCTTCCTCTGCTGCCGCATGCGGCGCACCAGCTGGGGCAGCGCAGGGATGCCATTCCCAGCCTCCACCTCCTGCACGGCGGCGTAGAGCAGCGCAAAGGCGCCTGTGCGGCCCACACCAGAGCTGCGAGAGATGGGGGTGAGGCTGGGACAAAATGCCCAGGAGGGGAGCCTGTAGCAGCAGCCGCTGCCCTACCTGCAGTGCACGACGATGGGCGTGTGCAGGGGCCGCTGGTGCAGGTAATGCGTGTGCACCTCCTGGATGAAGCGAAGCAGGTTGCCAGGGCTGTCAGGGAGGCCTCTGGGAGCAGGGCAGGGTAAGACTGTGAGAGCCAGGCCCCGGCCCTGGGCACAAGCCCCCCACCCCGCCCCAGCCAGCGGACGCACAGTTCTGGCCAGGTGGGGAAGTGGAGGTGCACGAGGGAGCGCTTGAGGCTCTGGTCACGGAACTGCAGGCTCAGCACGCGCTCCACGTGGGTCTCCGTGGTACGCACGCTGCTCAGCGCCAAGCTCAGGGCTCCGTGCACCATGGGCTGGCTGCGCTCCGTGGGGAAGTAGCGGGCTACCTTTTGCTAGGGGGCAGAGGGACGCAGTGAGGCCAGTCCTGCCCACCACCCACCCTACCTTCAGGACACCCACCTCACCGTGCTCTCACCTTCTCCACCTCAGCCTCTGACACCAGCATGACAATGACTGACACTTTCTGCTCGTGAACCATGAGCCAGAAGTCAGCAGCCGTGCCGGGCAGCGGGGCCTGGGTGGCCACTAAGGGTGGGCAGTATGGTGACAGCCCCTCCACACAGCTAGCGTTGATGTAGTCGTCCTTGCCGGAGCGCAGCACCACACGGTTGCTGTCGTAGGGCATGACGTCCTGGTGCCGGTTCTTCAGCGAGTAGCAGCGGGCGATGGCGATGGACCGACCTCGGGCATCCTGTTCCTGTGCCTCCTGCAGCTCCCGCCAGACTGCGTCCAGTGTCCCCGCGTCCCCTAGCTGGCCCCGGAAGACTTCCAGCTCCTGCTGCAACTGCCCCAGCCTTTCAGGGTGCTCATAGGGGTCCCGCTCGATTAACCGAAGGGCCTGTGGGCGACGGCCTTCGGCCGCATCCACCTTGGTCGGCTGCAGCAGGGGCTGCCCGCCCCCAGGAGGCTGTGCGCCCCCATGCTGGCTCTCAGGGCTGGAGGACAGCAGGTCTGCAGCTGCCATGCCCCGGCGTGGGCATGCAGGTGGCTCTGCTGCGGGGGGTCGAGAGGGCACCGGGGCCGGCCCTGGAGACGGGGCAGGTGAAGGCACCAGGTGGGGACTGGGGCTGGGCTGGCCAGCAGGTGGAGGACCACGCATGGGGAGTGGGGCTGCCTGGGTGCCCAGGGGACTCGGAGAGGGAGCAGGCCCATAGGCCAGGGGTGGGTGGGGAGGCTGGGGGGGCCCTGGGCTGGCGAAGGGCAGGGCCCCTGCCTGGGGCTGCAGGGCTTCTGGGGAGGGGCCTGGGTAGAGCTGGGTGTGCAGGGCGGCCGGCGACTGCGCAAGGACGCCAGAGCGTGGTGGGAAGGGGTAGGGGGGCTGGGAGGGTAGGATCCCCGGGGCTGGGGGTGGGGGTGGGAAGAGGTGTGGCTGCTGGAATGGAAGGGGCTGCTGAGGGGGCAGAGGCCCAAATGCTGCCCTGGAAGGATGCGGCTGGGGAGCAATGCTGGGGCCCTGTGTTGCAAGGAACCCTGTGGGCACCCCAGGAGAAAAGTGATGCTGAGCTGGGGGCGCTGCAAGGGGCTGCTTGGTCCCGACTGTGTATGCGTAGGGCATGGGCGGGGGTGGCTGCGAGGGGAAGCAGGGCTGGGGAGCAGCGCTGGGGTTGGGCCGCAGTGCCAGGTGGCTGGAGATGGGGGCCTGGACGCTGTCTACCGTGGTGGTGGCTGGCCGAACTGCTGTGGCCAACTCCGGGCCTGAAAACTGAGGGGGAGGGGCAGAGGGCAGGCCAGCAATGGCCGGGGGGGCCCCCACTGCACTGTAGGGACTGCTCCCTGCACTGTGCTGTGGGGAGGAGCGGGGCACAAGCCCCAGCTCTGGGGTGTAGGCAGGGGCCGGGTAGAGGACAGGTGAGGGTGCCATGGGCATGGCAGGGGGCCCTGAGGCCCTGGCCTGCAGCAGCTGGCTGGCGCCTGAGTAGGTGCCAGGGGGGAGCGTGCCTGAGACATAGTGGGGACCCGGGACAGCAGGGTTGGCGAAGGGACCGGGTGTGAAGTGGAGGGGGGTAGTGGCTCCCAGGAAGGCGTCGGGCAGCCGGGGACCGGCTACCATGTCAGGTGGCAGGCTGCGCAGCTCCTCAGGCAGGTCCCCTGTCTCCGCAGCCTCGCTCTCCTCCCTGCGGGGCAGCAGTGGCTTTGGGGCCGTGGGCCGTGGGGGCGGCTTCTTTTTCAACTCTCTGGGAATAGACAGGCAGGGAAGTGAGGCCACACCCAGCGGAATGGAACTTGGAGGCAGCAGGGGGCCACACGCACCGGTCCAGGAGCTGCTGGCGGGCGGCCTCCCGTGCCTGGCAGGCAGACTGAGCCCGTTCCAGCAGGGCGGCTACTTTGCTCTCCAGGTCCGCATAGAAGTCCTTGCCCTCTTGGGACTTCTTCATCAGGTCCTCATAGGCTTCGTATGAGGCCACAAGGGTCTGCAGTGTGGAGTTCCACCTGACAGGCAGAAGGCCAGGTTAGCAGGGTTAGCAGGCCAGCAGGGCAGGGTGGCGCAAGGCGGCACAGTGGGAGAGCGCTGGGCACTGACTTCTGGTCCAGGTCACTGAGTACCCGCCGCACGGCTGCGTACTGCACATTGGCATCGGTGAGTGCACGAAGCACGTTGTCCTGGGCTGCCAGGTTCTGTTCTAGGTATACTCGCAGCTGGTCATATTTCTTCAGCTGCTCCTCAAAGAGTTTCTAGGGGGATGGTGGGGAGGGCGCTCAGGCCTTAGCACCTCAGGGCAGAAAAAGCCCTGCCTGCTGCCCGCTACCCACCTTCATCTCTGAATGGTCAGTGGTCACCAGGGAAGCAGTGATGTCATCCTTCTGGATCAGCTCGCGCAGCTGCTGCTCCAGAGACACACGCTGATCCCGCATCTCCTGCACCTTGGCCAGGATGCGCTTCAGGTTCTGCAGCACAGCCTTGTCCTCTGGGGTGGCAGGCACCAGTGAGGGCGCAGAAAGTGCAGGCTCCCTGCGCTCTCACACGCTCACACACGGGAACGGCAGCTTACCTGGAGTCAGGGCCGGCGTGGGCAAGGCAGCCCTGACCTGGTCCAGCGGCCCACTGAGCAGGCGCAGGTTGCCCACGTGCAGGTTCATGGCGCGGTGCAGCTCGCTGTTGGTGAAGGATGCCTTTTCGTGCACCTCCATGTACTTGGTCCACTCCTTCCTCACCTCTGCCAGTTCCGCCTTGGCAGTGGCCAGGCCGGCCCCAGTCTGGCCTGTGGCCTCCTGCAGCTTCTGCTCTTGCAGCTCGTCCTCCTCTAGCAAGGTCCTGATGTCCTTCAGGGAGGCCTCCACATCCGTGAACACGCCCGATAGCACTGGGGTAGATGGGATGGCCCCTGAGGCAGGTGTGCTAGGCACCTCTCGGGCCAGCTGGCCGTTCAGTCAGGGCCACTGCGTGGCCCAGCCTCTCTCGGTGACAGGCCAGGGAGGAGGCCGCAGCAGATGACTCGTTCTTCCCTCCACGCCCGCTCTGCACCCACTCACCCTGCATGGATTGGACGAGGTTCTTGACGGTGTCAGGCCGCACGCTAAGCGCTGCACACTTCTCCATGAGCTGGGGTGGGATGTGGCTGTATGTGTCCAGGTTGTCCACAGTCTCAGGATCCAGCTGCATCGAATCCATGAACTGGCTGTGTGGGGGCGGCCAACCAGGTGGGATGGGTGCTGGAGTGCAGCTGTAGGACTTGGACAGCAATCCCCTCTACCAGCCTTTACCACTCTCACACAGACCCAGGGATCACACCCAGGGACAGCTGGGAAACCAAGCCCTGGGACTCACACCTAGTCCAAGTTCCTGGGCAGGGAGGCAGCTGGAAAGCTGCCGAGACCAGACAAGACACTACACTCCTCCCCTCGCCCACGTGGGCAGCACTGCAGCCCCCAGGAGGGCTGGTGCCCACCCCACACTTACTCCAGGACCTCATTCTTGTCCTCGATCTTGGCCATCACCTCCCGAAGCAGCTTGGCCTTTTCCTCACTGTGGAAGCCACAGAGCAGCTGTTGGACAGCTGTATTTCCTGAGACACCCAGCTTCTGGCGGGGCAAGGATAGGCCAGCCCCACCCACCTGTACAGTGACGAGGCCTCGTGGGCAGCCATGGGTACCAGTTTGGCAAAGATGTCAGGGCCCGTGACAGCCGGATCCGTGGGGTTTACAGGCAAGGGCTTCACCAAGGGAGCACCTGGGGCAGCAGGAAGTGTCAGGCCCTTGGGGACCCCGTCCACCTGCCCCTTACACCCACTTCCCAGCCTCTCTAGGCCCCAGACCTTTCACAGGCTGCAGGGTGTCCAGGGCTGGCACAGCCTCATGGTAGATGAAGTCGTTGTCCTTCTTGGCAGAATTATACCTGGGGTATGGGAGCAGGGGAGGTGAGGAATCCAGGCTCAGTGGAACCTGTGACCTAGACTACCACTCTCTGCTGGTGCCTCCTCCTCAGGGTACAGGCAGAGGACAAGCCCCACTCACTTTCCCCCGATGACGTCCATCGTGAAGCGAAGTGCGTCCTGCACAGTGTCCGGCTGGCCCTGTGGGTAGCATGGGAATAGGACCTCAGCACCCGCCAGGCCCTGACAGTCCTATGTAGCTTGCTTCCTGCACCCTGGGCGCTGAGGGCAGCCAGGCCTCCTCAACCTTACCTTGGCCAACTTGATGGCTTCATTAAGCTTGTCAAGGGCGCTCTGGAAGTAGGCCACCTGCAGAGGGCAAAACCTGCTCTGTTGTCCCTGTGTGGACCCTTCTTCTCCTGCCTGGCCATCCAGTGACCACTGGTAGCCCAGAAGCCTAGCCAGTAGACCCACAGCTGCGCCACCCTACAGTGTACACCTGAGAGCCCACCACGCCTCTGCAGACCCGGGGCGAGGGCCTCACGGGGGAGTGACGTGGAGGACCCTGTAGGCCTGCAGCACGTCGCCAGGCGTGTGGGGGTGACACAGAGACCCCACCTCACCGCAACAGGACAGGACCAGGGCCTGAATACCCCCACCACAGCCCACTCACCCGCTCCCCGAACTTCTGCTGCTCCTCGGCCTGCTTTCCCATGTGCAGCTGGGAAAGTGAAAGTGGCATCAGACCCAGTCCCGACCCAGGTGACCCGGCCCCACCCACCCCAGGGACCGGAGTGGTCTCACATGAGCCACTGCTGCAAAGTAGTAGATCTTCATCTGCACCAGCTTCTTCCAGTCCTTCTGGACGCGGCCCAGCAGTGAGGCGGTGGCGGGGTTCTCCAGGGCCCGGCACGCCTCCTTGTAGTAGTCCACCACCTGGGGTGGGGCAAGGCAGGGGTGGGGCAGGACAGGTCAGTGGAGGCTGGGCCAGGACACAGCCAGGGACCTGCACCCTCAGCCCGCCCCTACCTGTGCGCTGATGCGGGCCACCAGGAAGCTCTTTCGGTTGTCCAGCATTGACTTCTCCAGTAGGCACTCCTGTGCCTGGCCCTGGGGACACACATGGGTCACTCTCCTCAACTGCAGCTCTCTCCCCCAGGGAAGGGAGTGCAGATGACAAGGGACACCCTTCGCAGCCCTTCAAGTCGGCCCACTCTGCTGCCCAGAGCTCTGCACTTGGCCGGTCCAGGGCCTCACCAGCATGAGGTTGACATTGAGAGTGAGAATCTGTCGGCTCATGTCCACGCTGTAGGCCTGTGGGAAGTGTTCCCGCAGGTAGGCGAAGGCGCCTGCTGCGCACTGGAAGTGGGTGCAGGAGACCTTCATGCCCTGCGAGGGACAGGGAGGAAGCTGGCTGAGCCCACTCCCGTGGGGAAGCGCCGACTCACGTGTCCCACCACCACAGCCGCCTCACCTCCTCTGACACCCGCTTGTCCACAGCCCCCAGCATTGAGTGCAGCGCGCCTGAGGAGGCAGAGGACATGGTGTTAAGGAAGGCAGAGCCCTGTGCCAGCCCACCAGGGAAGCAGCTCTCCAGGGCCACAGTCCAGGGGAATCACAAGAGGGAACAGAAAACCCAGCAGCCCAGCCAAGGCCTCGGCTCTGCTCTGTACACAGCGGGGCTGGGACAGAGGAAGTAGGGGCTGCTCGCCAGAGCCCCGGGGTCTCCTCTGGCAGCTCCCAGGACGGCTAGAGTCCTCTGCACCTCCTCTCGCTTCTCTCTCAGCCAAGGTGTCCAAAGCCACAGAGGGAAGGGCTGCCTCTCCCGCAGGGCACACGGTGGCAGCTCTGTGGGGTGGCTCCTATGGGCCCCAGGAACAGCAGGGTGCTGCAGGGCTGTGGTGAAAGCAGAGAAGCCCCACGGCCTCTACGACCCCTGGCAAGCTGAGACTGAGGTTGGCAGGCAGGAAGGCTGTGGGGAAGGGCCGGGCGGCTCACCGAGGTTGTACAGGGTACAGGCCTGCTCATACTTGATGTCCTCGTGGGCCACGGACTTGCCTGAGAAGATCTCGGTCCTGCAGATGTGGCAGTCCATGTCACTAGAGGGCAGGGCTGGCCGGGGCCAAGGGGACCACCACCCTGGAGTGTGTATGTGGGGGTGGGAGACGCCACAGGGCCACTCCACACACGCACAGCACGCAGGAGAGAGCAGGGGAGAGGAGCACTGCCACCACCCGGGCACCCGGCCCCACACCCTAGCCCCGCCACTGGCTCTCACCAGGTGACAGGGACCGCAGCCTCCTGCCCTGAGCCCATGGGGACACGGCTCTGCAGGTAGTGCAGCTGGCCGAGGTACTTTCGGAGAACGCTGCAGCCCTCAAAGTCCCGGGGAACGCGGATGGCATTCTGGGGGGTGGGAAGGGAGACATGGAGCTCATCCACAGATGCTGGGAAACGTATCTGACCAAAGCTGGCAGAACCCTATGCCCAGGAGCCACTCAACAGACTGGCCCACCTGCCAGTGCTGGCTGCCAGCAACAGCATTCCTAGAAAGCAGTCTGTGATGTTCACTTGGTCTTTTGGAAGGAGGATGGGTTGTTACAAGACATCGAACCCAGGCACCACTGAGCTACATCCCTACATCCCTACCCCTTTTTAACTTTAAGACACAGTCTCAATAAGGCGCTCAGGCTGGCTCAATTTGCATTCACCCTGCCTCAGCCTCCTGAGCAGCTAGGATTACAGGTGTATGTTAATTCACCCAGTTAAAAATTCTCATATTTAGCTTTCCATCTACAGTTCTGTATCTAAAATTTGTATCATGAGACATCCAGGAAAGCAAATCTTTGTATATACAAGGGCGTTTACCACACTGCCAATCACAAACTGTATGCCAGCCTACCCTCTATTTTAAAGAACACTGCTGAAATAAACTACACTGAAGCTCACCACACGTGAGCATACTTTGCAGCCACGAAAACTACAGATCTGACTCTCTACTGATACAGTAAGATGCTCCTGACATACTGTTAGGCAAAAAAGCACATCACAGATGAATGGTATGATCTCAGTGAGGTGACAGCACGGAGAATAATTTCTAAATAGACATGCAGATAACAAACAATTCAGAACACTGCATTATCTCTGGGTAATTAGATTTCCCTCCTTTTATACATATACTGTAGGTAGATAAACACACAAAGGTATGTGCCTCAGAGAGACAGGTATTTAATTCTTTATATACTTTACATTAAACAATGGCTAGAGATGTAGCTCAGTACAAAGGCCCTCAGTTCAGTCCCCTAAAGCTGGTATCCAATGAGGAACTGGGCCAGAAGGACTATAAACCCTCATCTGCCTGCCCTGCTGAGATACACGACCACCTGAGGAATTCCCCGTGCACCCAAGGGAGCTCAGCTCAAGAGGAGGCCTTACTCCCCACCACTTCTATCCCCTCAACTCCTCTCTAATTGGGACAGCCTCCCTGTGTCACGCAATATGACACCAATGCAGGGCTATCAGCCCCAGGCCAGGGCGCCGCAATGCACCCATTCCCTCTCATCACAGCCCCCTACCCCGTCTCATATGCAAACCCCACTTTAAACCAACCCATGTAAAAATTCAAGACCCATAGCTGATGCAGCAGCAGCTCCAAAATAACAGGCCTGAATGGAAGCTACAAATTTTAAAAAATACCAAATCACACACAAAAATAATAATGTATGGACCATCTGTACTTCCTAAAACCACCCTTGGGAAGCAAAGACACACTCCTCCTCCTAGCACACAGCACCCATGCCAGCTGGTGTCACCCGGCGAGCTGCCAGCATGAGCAGAACAGCACAGCAGTCCGAAAACAAGGCCTTGATGGGTGTCAGACAGTCTTACTTACAACCAACCCAGTCCTGCTTTCTAGATGGGGAAACTTAGGCCCAGACCAGGACAAGATGCCAACCTAAAGCTTCCTCAATTATAGTGACCTTCCCTCATTCCTTTACAAATTACTTCAGTTATACAAAAGGAGAATTTGAGTCTTGCTGTCTAGTCTCTGCTGAGCATTTCTCTGTGCTGTGACATATTTTCTCTATTCACTAAAAATGGGAGTCAGGTGTGGTGGCCCATAATCCCAGCACTTAGGAGGCTGAGGCAAGAAGATCTTAAGTCTGAGACCAGCCTGGACTACCAAAACAAAACACAAACCAACTAGACCCGGGTTAGAACCAAAATTTCTCATTTAGTTTTTACCTTACATGTGCTGAGTCTGGGAGCTTTTTTGGTCTACAAATTATTTCATTGAAAAAATTACTCTCAGCGTTCTACAGATGGATTCACCCAACACTGATGTGTGCGCTGGGGTGTAGCTGTAGTACAGTGCTTGCCTAGCATGCACAAGGATTGAGTTCAATCCCTAGTAGCACAAAAGAGAAGAAGAAACACTGACAGGACTCAGACCATTCCACTCATTTTTAAACTTTATTCAAATAAGCTCTTTCCTAAACTTCAGTTTATGAGGAAGATTCTGGATGGTGGTGGAACATGAAGCACTGAAAATCTGTCTCCCACCTAAGAGGCAACTGCACTGGCAGACTCTGTCCAAGGCAACTGTTCAGAACTCGGGTGTTTCCTGAACTTGAGGCTTCTGTTTCTAGGACAGGACAGCAAACGGGCCCAGTCTGGTCCTAGCACAGGTGCAACCACCTGCCCCAGCCCAGCACCTGGCCAGCAGCTGTGTGCCTCAGAGAAGCAGCTTGTGGGTGCCCGGGGGCAGGAAGGCCTCAGCCCTCCAAGGATGGGGATCAACGCTTTGACCACTGACCAGATTCTGACCAGAGACGCAGACAGCAAAGCAGTGACCATCACCATGCCTCCCTCTACTGCTGCAAGCTCTTTCACCTCTAGCTGGAGTGATCCCTGCAACGTAAAACACCCGACTCCAATTTCCCTTCATCTTCTTTTTGCAGTACTGGAGATCAAATCCAGGGCTTCATGCATGGTGGGCAATCGCTCTACCACTGTGCTACACAGCCCTTTTTAGCTTGAGACAGGGTTCCAGTAAGGTGCCCAGGCTGGGCTTGAACTTGCCACCCTACTCCCTCAGCCTCCCAAGTAGTTGGATTACAGGTCTTCATCACTGTGCCTGCCTTAACGGCACCTGGTGGGATCTTTCAAAGACCTCCCCCTCCTTATGGGCCAGCCGTGGATAGCCCTTCCCTCAGGAAGCTGGGCCCCCTCAGGTCACGTGGCTTCAGCGGTCCCCTTCACTATGTTTACTGCCACCGTCTCCCTTGTCCAGTAGGCCTCAGTGCCACAGTCTGCAACTCCAGTGTCTCCCGAAAGCCTATGTGTTAAGACCACACCAGGTGGTTTCTGTCACTTTCCTATCAAACCTCACCTGCCCATACCTAAAAACAGTCGCTTACCTGTCTGAGCAACTCCAGCTTCTTCAGTTCCTCATTGTAGGCTTCTGGGTTCTCTCCATAATTCTTCAAGACAAACTAGAGAGAGAGAAGAATGTGAGAGAGCACCTGCACTCCTGCTGAGACCAGATCCAGGCCACTGGATCAAACCCACACCCACAACCACAACCTGGCCTCCTGTGCCACTGGGAACTCTGCCCCAGGAAGAGGCAGCAAGCCAGGAATGGGGGCGCACACCTGTAATCCCAGCACTTTGGGAGGCTGAGGCAGAAAGATCACAAGTTTGGGCCCTACCTGGGCAATGGAGTGATTGTCCTGGATCCTGTCTCAAAAGGGAGAGGGCATAAAACTAAAATAAATAATTAGGGCAGATTAATATTTTTATTAGTACGTATTTGTGATACATAAGTACATATTTGTGATACATAGTGAGTCTGCATGTATGAAATCTTGATCCTTTCTACTTCCCCTTTCCCCTCCCCTCTCCATCTCTAAATGCCTTTTCCAACTGCAAAATACCTACTACGGTTTCCCAATGTCTTTTTTAATTTTTTCTTTCAAATTTTTATTAGTACATGTTTGTAGTACACATTGATAACATTTATCAGAGCATGTACATATAAATGTACATGCTTGTACATATAAATGTACATGCTTAATCTTTTTTTTTTGAAGGGGTTTGAGAGACAGGGTCTCACTGTGTATTCCAGGTTGGCCTTGAACTCCCCAATTCTCCTGCCTCAGCCTCCTGAGTGCTGGTACTACAGGCATACACCACCATGCCTGACTACAAACAACACCTTTGTTTGTTTGTTTGTTTTTCCTGGTAACGGAAATCAAACTCACAACCTTAGGCTTGCCAGGCAGGCACTGTGTCACTGAGCTAAATCCCCAGTCCCTTACAAACATAATCTTAATTCTTTACTTTCTCTTCCCCTACCCTCTCTCCCCACTTCCATCTCTAGATCTCCTTCCCACTTGTAGAAGGTCTACTTCCCAGTTTCCTGTGTTCTAGTTTGCTTTTTAAATTATTTATAATTTAAGGTTCTCATGAAGAGACACCACTTGGTATTTAAGCTTGTGTATGTGATTTGTTTCACAAAGTATTATGGTCTCAAGGTGCACCCACTTCCCCTATAACTGACTCAAATTTACCCATCTTTATAGCATAGTATGCCACTGTGTATACATATATTTTCTTTAGCCAATTATCTGTTCATGGACAAGCAGGTCGCATCCAAGATTTAGCTATTATGATTTGTGCTATTATAAATATGTGAATGCATGTTTTACTATATGATGTCTTTAACTCTTTTGAGACGATATCCAGTAGGGAAATAGCTGGGTTGAATGGAATTATTTTCAGTTTTGTGAGGAATCTCCAAACTGATTTCCATACTGGTCACACTAGTTTACAGGCCCATAAACAAAGTAGAAGGGTCTCCTCCAACACCATCATACCCTTGCCAGCATTTTTTGGAGTTCCTGATAGCCACTCCATAAGACGGAATACCAGTGTTTTAATGTGCATTTAAAAATTTTTTTGGACCACTGGAGATCGGTCTGCCCTCTGAGGTGGAGGCCCCAGAGCTCAGACCCATGCTACCAGTTAGTCCAACAGGAATGAGAGGGCTTGGGGCATGCTCTGCCTTCTCCTTCTGGCCAGACCGTCATCTCCAT